TTAAATATTTTAAATTTAGATAATTTAACTTGAAGATATTAGCATGTATTTGCTATCTTAAATTCAAGTATAAATAAAGTTATTGTCATTGTCATTGTCATTGTCATTTCCCCATCCGGCCAAACGACATTCTTTCCTGTAGATTTATGTGTAATACTGTGTACATCGAAATATTTAACAGAAATTTCTTGTGCCTGTCATTTTAACCATGTTCTGATTCAGTTTAGGTTGCCCTTTCAAAAATTATCTGATGCAATGCTTTACTTGAGGGTTCCTTTCAATCAACAAAATTTTTTATGGCCACAACACACCTCTCGTACTTGAAATATTGCGTGACTCAGCTACTTTAACATCCATAGGAATAGAATCGCTAAAAAGCGGTCACTTGTGTTCAAAATCTAAAAACATCCACTAGTATCCACAGTCTAAAACGGCCACTAGCGTCCAAAATCCAAAATCGGCCACTAGTGTCCAAACCCGACCACTAGTGGCGAAAATCCAAAAGCAGTCACTAGTGGCCAAAATTCAAAATCGACCACTAGTGTTCAAATCCAAAGTCAGCCACTAGTGTCCAGTATCCAAAATCGAGCACTGGTGGCCAAAACCCAAAATCGGCCACCTGTGTCCAAAATCCAAAATCGGCTACTAGAGGCCAAAATTAAAAAACAGCCTCAAGTAGCCAAAATCAAAAAGCGGTCACTAGTGGCCAAATTCAAAAGCACCTATTAGTGGCCAAAATTAAAAAAACGGCTACTAGTAGCCCAAATCCAAGAAGCGATCACTGGTGGCAATTCAAAAGCAGCTATTAGAGGCCAAAATGAAAAAACAGTGACCAGTAGCCAAACTCCAAAAACATCCAATAGTGGTCAAAATCCAAAATCACTGCGTTTGCATTGCAATGCATATGTACCAGATTTCATTATAATCGTTTTTGTTTGCCTCTCGATTTCGTAGCATGTAAACTTCGTTCCCAGGATGCTCTCTCTTTCTCTCAGAAGAATAGGAGCCCTTGGAATGAGGTTGGTAGCATTCACGATTGCGCCAGAAATGAGTCACATTTTGTGCTTTCTTGCGTCATTCATCAATTGGTGGTAATTACTTACAAATTGAAAGTTTGAA